CACTGGCGTGTAAACACGTACAAATGTTCAAAGTGCCTATTAATTGGAATTTGTAAGGAATGTGAAGACATTGTAGGAATACAATTTCCTAACGTGAACATAACGGTAGCCAATTCTAATACAGATCGAGCACAGTTATAACAAATATGTGCACTAGAGAGTGCTCAGAGCCACCCACTATAATCTTTCCTGTGTGTAAGAATGTAACCTTAAAAGGTCATGTTAGAGGACTATGCGTGCTACGTTGGTAAGGTACATTGTGATATATTAGTTAGTTTTGTTTTTGCCTTACTTTGCAATTGAAAATAAAAGCAGACTACTGCATACACAATGTTGGGAGGAAATGGGTTAAAAGGAAATCTGCTATAATCACCACTCCAATCCACATACGCTGTGTCTCAGGAAGATTGTGTTTCACAATATGTAAATTAGTTACAAGTAAACTGTTTACATAAATTTTCTGATTGATTTATCCGACAAATTTCATGGTTTTAGGTACATTGAGTAAATGCAGAAACTAAAGGGACACTATAGGCACCCATACCACTTCAGCTCATTGAAGTGGTCTGGGTGCAGTGTCTGCCTGTCCCCCTTAGTCCTGCAATGTAAAACTTTGCAGTTTTATAGAAACGGCAATGTTTACATTGCAGTGCTAAGATAGCACACTACAGGAGCTTCCTGGAGTTTCACGGAGTGAGTACATGAATACATCCAGCGTCAGAAAAAGTAATGCTTCCCTATGGATAAGGGGATACGGCCTATTGTGTACTTAGAGCTCGCTGTGCATGCGCATTAGGTCCCCCCCATCAACTGATGTCAGAGGAGGCGTAATGCGACACTGCGCAGAGGGACCTCAATGCTAAAATTGGGTATGTGAACAAAGGATTAGATAACCCTTTACCATGCTGGGGGGCGCAGGGTCTGGGGAACATGTTGATGTTAGGAATACATCCTTGTATTCTTAACATCAACATGTTCCTTTAAAGAATAGAGGCAGTTGTGGTATAATCTGGTTTTTAAGAATCAGTAATGCCATATAGGATGGGAACTAAGAATAAACTTTTGGAAAACTTAACAGATGCAAAAAAATGCTTTGCCATTCATATTGCTATGCCATTCATATTGCTGCACTTTCAATATTCTAAATCACAAGCAGAAAAATAAATTTATTATAAAAAATAAAAAAAAAAGTGATTTATGAATGTAAGAAGTAATGGATTGGGGGTTTATTAACAAAATAAGGAATTGTCATAAGCTAAAACCAAAATTGAAATCAAATGCTAAAATAGCCAAGCTGTAACTAAGTGAAATGGAGAATTTATCTAGATCAGTTATTTTTGATTGCATCCACAGTTTTCAGTTAATCTTCGTGTTTAGTGAACAAACCCATCTGTGTTGGCACTAGAAGAAAGAATTTATACGTAATTATCGGTTAAAAGAGAAACATATATATGTAATATGTTGTATCCCACTTTGAAGAATGTCAAGAATAGTCATACTTTGTACAAGACCTTTTTCACTTTTAGAAATCTGCCCAGCAGTTCAGTCTGCGATTCTGCGATCGGGTTAATTACATAATAAAATACTCATTATATAAGCTTGACTCAGTGGTGATGGAAGGGAGTGTGGTCATGTTGGGGCAAGCCAATGATGCAATTAGTACCACAGGCACATGCCCAAATGACTAAATTCTGTCATTTGGTTTTCCAATTAAAAAAAGAAACACAAAAAAATGTAATGGATATAATCTACAGGAATTAATTCACTTACCATAGATTTGTTGTAAAATGTATCCTCTGCATACTGTGCCACTGTGGAACCTGTTCTCCTGGGTAAATTCCAGATGCTTGCCTGGTTTCTTCTCACCTGCCTGAATCCGTTTGTTTATTTTGTAGTGAACATGTGGGTGTTGGTTGACCCCAGGAAGCAAAACCAATCATGTCCAGGACCTTCCTATTTAGAAGATAGCTTATCCTTTGATTATTGTGGATGTCGTGTATCAGACCTGTCTTGTATGACTACCCTGTTCAAGTACCAAATCCAGCTTGTTCATCATTCAGTCCGTAAACCTGACCATGGCGTCTTTGACTATGTTTTGCTGTTTCTGTACCAGCTGGTATAATTTTTGTCCTGAACACAGTTTTATTTACGTTTTTGTGTTCCTCTCTGGCACGAAGTACTGCTCTAGTTTAGTCCTGTTATATCTTGGTTCCTGCTTTACGTTAAGCTCGGCCACTCTAAGGTCCGATAATACGCCTATTCTGTCTTTCTTTGCCTTGTTAGGATTGCTGCCTCTCTTCTTGCTGACGGTTCTCTGACTGATCATGACGAACATGATCCAGAAATATTTTAGTAAATAGAAAGTTTACTACTAAAAGAGTGATGAGAATGATGCCAGGTCATTAAAACTGCAGAGTAGATAATGAGCAACTGAAACAAGACACATCAAAACTATTTCAAATAGGGTGAAAATATGTATATTCCATTTAATCTGAGACAATGATGCAAGCACAGCGGCAAACACACTGCCCCCCCTGATCCCCCAAATAATGCATTGCATTAGCCAGTCTCCTGTTTGCATAATGTTTGGGTGCAGGAGTATGGCGTCCCTGGGGTCCAGCCTGGTCTATGTTAGAGAATACCCCTATATGTAACACGTGTAAGCAAGTATACCTCTGTTAATCTGTAACAAAAACAGATGCACAAGGTTCTAGGAGACATGATTACATGACTAAGCAGGCTATAAAAGAAAGCCCATGAGGTCCTCCCAGTCAGCCTCCAGCTCTCTGTGTAAGTCACAGGGGACCTTTGTGGTTTCTAAGAATTTTCAGATTCAGCTCTGTTGTCGTCTGGGGCTCCTGCTAATATTTTATTTCAAGGATAACAAACATTTGATGACTAATCTTAATTAGTTAATTTTTATTTCAGTAAAATATTTCCGTCAGTAGAAAATGGAGAGAGGTGGGTATATTTTGTTAGATGTGATTAGTTGTATATTTAATCCATCACAGAAAATATATCTAAATAACTTTTAACTTTGTAGTTGTGTACCTCTACACATTAGAGTGTTTACACACAATATGCAAAAACATGTAAAACCTATATATGTAACCCAAAAATAATATAAATAAAAATACAATCAAATTATATATAAGTATATTACATTGAGAGGGTATCCGAAGACCAGTGCCTATCTATAATTGAGCTCTAACTTGCGATGTGTAATTTTCACACTATTCATGCATCTGCAGAGCCCAAGTTTGTTTTGTTGCACCACAGAAACTTCCATCAGGTGTGGTGATTATGGTGCTTATATGCACTGTGAAGGGCCTGACTGGGCACTGGGCTTGTTTTGGGGTTTTGTAATACAATGCAATTCAGTTGAGGATATATAAATATCTCCCTTAACCGGGCCACTTTACGGATGTATGGAGGAGTGAGACCATTATTGTGATGTACTGACAGGATGTTGGGAGAACACAAGGGACAGCCCCTCCGTAAAAAGAGCGCACTCCCCACCAAGGAAGCCATACTCCTGCGCAAAACATAGGCAAAGAAAAGGGTGGTTAAAAACAATATACAGTTTAATATTTGTTGGGGTGTGTAAGTGTGTAGCTGTGTGTATGTCTGACAGTGTCTCTGGTTGTGTGTGTGCACATGACAGAGTGTGTGTGCTAATATTAAACACTGCAGAAATCCATCAGTGTTACAGGATACCTCTCAACAGTCAGGAGTGAAAATTGGGATCAGGTGAGTGGGGAAGGTGAGCGGAGTCCTGAGGGGGCATTGTCGTTGAAGGGACTCGTGTCACTAGCAAAACCTATAACGGGCAGGCCCAAAAAAAGGTCTAGCTCGCCTACTGGGAAATCACTGGTGCATTTTAGATTTTACCCAAAACAGCTGATTTGCAAAAAAATTCTTCAGATTAGCTATTTGTTCAGCTCTACAGTTTTGTCTTAAAATTTGAAGCTATATATTTTATTTTATTTTATTGTGGGAAAAAAATAATTATTTCACATGCATATACTTGCCGGGATATGATGACATACTTTTACTTCCCTCATATATACAAAATTGGCAGTGAAGGGGTTACCTAGAGTAGAACATTCTTGTGTCAAACATACTGAATACTGTCCTGTTTTGCACCATTAGGAAGAATTCAAAGTACTCAGGGATTTCCCACTGCATAACACAGTGTATGTTCTGCCCAGCACAAAACTAAATTTCAGATTTGCCTAGGTTGAGTACATACTCATTATCCTTGGTGGGTACATCATTAATATTGAGAGTGGGCATATGGGCATGTATTCACTGTACTTAGGCACCCTTCTGATTATTTCATTATGTCTTGGCTGGACACATGGCTAATATCTAGTTTTGACACATGGCTAATATTTGGGACTGTCACTTTTCTAAATCTAGGTTGGGTTTTGTCACGTGACTCACTGTCCTGTTTTTGTTCGGTGTTCAAACAGCCCCATGTTTTGGGCTCCAATCCCATCAAAAATGGGCCTGTCCCTAGAAGCACTTCCTGCTAACTCTGTGAAACAATGCTGGACATCCTCACGCTGTGCATGTGAACATCCAGAGCGTAATGCATGCACATTAGTTCCCCCCTCTGTGCTGATGTCGAACCTCACCACTAGTATAAGGTAAGTGAGAAAAGGATCTAAAGACACAAAATTCCACTTTTCCTTCAGAGTTCATGCACAGTGTGACCAGTCAGCATACCTGTTAGGCCCAGCCCCGATCATCTTTAGTTTAAAATTTTATAAATACATATGGAAAAAAATAAAAGGATGCAAGCAAAATGAAAACTATTGACCAGTATTGCAAGAGACATTCCTGCTAGACACGTTCATACATTGACAACATCAGGAACACTTTAAATAATTAACAAATCTCAAATAAAGACTAGAATGCCAACATTAATCATAATTGAAAAAGTATATACAGGAACATTGTATGAATAAGAGAGAAGAACAAAGTAAATCATGTTGGGCAATTTAGTGGTCAGAAAACAATTAAAAAGCAACAGTCTTAATTAGTTGAAGAAAGCAAAGAAACATAGTCGAGGGGAATCATGTTTGACCAACCTGGTCTGACCGAGGAAGCAGTGAGAGAATTCCATAGAATGCATTTCTTCAACTTTGGTGATCCAATGCTGGATGGTGGGAACAACAGATGTCTTTTGCAATTGAAATAGGAGAGAGGTAAAAAAAAAATCATAGCTTTTGGCATGAAAGGAGTGTTTACGGTAAATCTGTAATTTTAAGTATATTTATAAGTATCGTTCTCTACTAAAAAGCAATAAAAATGCAACTCCACCAAATGTCTCCAACACTGAAGCATTATACCTTGTAGGATCTCAAGGGGCAGTAGCTTGTAATTCAGCTCCTGAACGTTAGTTGAGACTGAGCTCTGGTGTGTTAAAAATCAAGAATGTCCACTGAGCTTCAGAAAGATAATGCCCAAACTCCGACTTCCATCTCTGAAGAAATTTAGAGGGAGGCAGGGATACATGGTGGAAATACAATGTTGTTGCAAGGAAGTAAGGTTCCTGTGAACATTATGTCCGCCCAGCAGGGAACAATAATAATATGAACGCTGAAAATATCTCAAATTTTCCAGTCCCGTCGGACAGCACCCCTGGAGCATATGGGAAGAGATTTAAAGTCATTACTTGTTCAGAGCAAGTAAAGATACCCAGAGCCATCTAATGCCAAGAATGGTAAATTCTCACACCAAGTTAATTCAGATAATTCTGCAATAGAGAGATGGAAACAGAGGGTTTGTCTCACATTCTGTACTTGGGCCCTTGTCTGCAACTGTTCCCTGTGTACTGTGTGGCCACTGGTCCACACCATGCCTCTCTGTGCTGGGAGCATGTGATTACATTTCACTTCCTCACAGTGAAGAGATAGATAGTTGCAGAGATAGATAGTTGCATGCTGCATCAAGAACATCTAGATTAGGTGAATAAGACCAAGATTTCACAGACGAGCTCCTTAAACAAACAACATTGCTCTGTTTTCACAGGGATATAGTTACAAAGCCCAAAACTCACTCAAAGTATCACTAAAAAAGGCTAATGGAATATATGGGGCTAGAGGGAGGTCCTACGCACGCTGGACCTCAGGGCAAAGTTAACAAGTGGACAAAGCCAGAAAAGAGACGCCAATCATCCCTCTTTACATCTGACAAGTATACACTGTTTGTGGAGAGGCAAACAAATTCATCTTGATTCAAGGACCTTTGGAAACTTTTTTTTAAAAATTATTATTAATGAAAGAATTTATTTTTAAATAATTTGCTCCAATGGTACTCTAAAGACCGTACAATTAAATAATTGTGCCTTGTTGCACATAAAACCACTTGTCTTCTAATGTGAAACAATGACCTGTGAGACTCATTATGCCCTGATTGCATACAGTAAAACTGGTTACTTTTTTCAACAAATCCAGTTTTTTGTAATATAGCTTTATACCTAAATATTATCCACAGTAATTTTCTTGCTCATTACTAGAGTGTCCTATTTTGTGTTAAATTGTGACCTTCAAAACAAAACTGTTCCACACATTAAATAAAGGTGTGACATTTATTGTGTATAACAATGGAAAATGTTCTAGGAAACCTTTCTATCCAATATTTGATAATGAATACAATTTCCTTGTACTTTTAGTCGATAATTATTTATTGTCTGTTCAGCTAGCATCCAGACATTTTGCCAGCATATATCCAGTAAATTAACCTACGGAGGGATTGCAACTTGTGCTGTATATGCATATGATTTGTCTGGCTAGAGTGGTAATAATACCATTGCCTTAGAATTGGAAAACCTAATAATAATAATAATAATAAAAAGAAGAAGGCATATAGCTCATTAAGCTGTATCTCCTTTCATAGAGCAGTGATACATTATAACCAGCATGGGATTTGCATGTCAGGTGCCTGTAGGCACAAGAATTCTGATGTGCCCCTTTCGCCTCTTCCCCACAAGAAGAAATTGCAGATAAAATAAGTTTAATACATTTATTAAACATTGTAAATCCGGGTTGTATATCTAGGTTGAGTACATGTTTTATATCTTGGGAGGACACATTGCTATATGTAGATTGGTTACTTGGTTTATATCTAGGGAGGACACGTTGCTCTCTCTAGGTTGGGTACATGGCTTATATATTGGGAGGGAACATTGCTATATCCAGGTTTGGTACATGGTTTATATCTTGGGAAGACACATTGCTATATCTAGGTTGGGTACATGGTCTATATATTGGGAGGACACATTGCTATATGTAGATTGGGTACATGGGCTATATATTGGGAGGACACATTGCTATATGTAGATTGGGTACATGGTTTATATCTAGGGAGGACACGTTGCTCTCTCTAGGTTGGGTACATGGCTTATATATTGGGAGGGAACATTGCTATATCCAGGTTTGGTACATGGTTAATATCTTGGGGAAACACATTGTTATATTTAGGTTGATTACATGGTGTATAACCTGGGAGGACACATTGCTATATCTAGGTTGGGTACATGGATTATATATTGGGAGGGAACATTGCTATATCCAGGTTTGGTACATGGATTATATCTTGGGAGGGAACATTGGTATATCTAGGTTGGGTACATGGTTAATATCTTGGGAAAACACATTGCTATATGTAGGTTCATTACATGGTGTATATCCTGGGAGGACACATTGCTATATGTAGGTTGGGTACATGGTCTATATATTAGGAGGACACATTGCTATATGTAGATTGGGTACATGGTCTATATATTGGGAGGACACATTTCTATATGTAGATTGGGTACATGGTCTATATATTGGGAGGACACATTGCTATATGTAGATTGGGTACATGGTTTATATCTAGGGAGGACACGTTGCTCTCTCTAGGTTGGGTACATGGCTTATATATTGGGAGGGAACATTGCTATATCCAGGTTTGGTACATGGATTATATCTTGGGAGGGACATTGGTATATCTAGGTTGGGTACATGGTTAATATCTTGGGAAAACACATTGCTATATGTAGGTTCATTACATGGTGTATATCCTGGGAGGACACATTGCTATATGTAGGTTGGGTACATGGTCTATATATTGGGAGGACACATTGCTATATGTAGGTTGATTACATGGTGTATATCCTGGGAGGACACATTGCTATATCTAGGTTGGGTACATGGGCTATATATTGGGAGGACACATTGCTATATGTAGGTTGGGTACATGGGCTATATATTGGGAGGACATATTGCTATATGTAGGTAGGGTACATAGGTTATATCTTGGAAGGACACATTGCTATCTCTAGGTTGGGTACATGGCTTATACCTCTGGTGGCCACTTATTAAAAAAAATTCTTTATTTTATTGAGGCATGAGATTATGGTGGTACAGAAAAAAGAGAGGGAGACTTGCAAGAGTTATACAGGTTAGGGTCATCATAACAGATTACAGTAATCTCCTAGGATTATCAGCCTCATTTTATATTATATTAACAAGTTTAAACCATTGAGTTGATGCTGAGCTACATACTTATGTAATGTTGCAAGCAATAAGTACATGACGATTGTTACTTAAGATTTAGCATGAATGAACATTAACGAAAAAGGGAAAATAAACCTGTGGCACTTTAAGAGAGACAGGAGGCAAATAACAGGGGGTTCCTCGGGGTACACATGTCAGCAGCATCTACATGGCTTTCACAAAAGATTTTTTGGAATCAAAATAAGCAGACTATCATGGCATAAGTGATCGTGGCTGGCAAGGAGTGTTTAGTGGAGCAGTCCTGTGCCCTAGCGTTAATCCTCTATGTCAGCCGATGCCAACATGAGCTGCATGCTTGTGCTTCTCTACAGGTAGGTCACTGGGTTCCATCAGTCACATTGCCCTGGAGACCCCAACTGTAAGGGCCCATGGGCCACTGCTAACCAGCTGCTGGATATGCAGGTGAGAACACAACCGAAGCCCTCTGGACCTCGCCCACCCAGTGTATCCTGTTGCTTGAAGGTGGTGTAGTGGATGAGTGCCTGCTAGTGCTCCTCCAGGGAGGTTGGCAAATGGGACCTCAGAGGCTCCGAACCGTCACATGGTTCCACTGCTTGCTCGGGTATTGCTGGCTGCTGCAGGGTATGCCAATAGGGCTCTGGGCTCCTCAATTTTGGTCTGAATCCAGCACCTACATGGTCTGTTGTTTCCATATAGTCCGTTACAAGCGTCTGAGGTGCTCGCTGCCTCGTGGTCACCGCTGGGTTGCATACGGTCGCCATCTTGAGGGTTCCGTCAGCCAGTCCGAGGTCTGTAAATCCCTGAGGGCCCACAAGCTGGAGCCCCACAGGGTGAGAGTGAGGTTGCCGGGATGACCCCCCACTGGCAGGGGGGGGAAGTCCAGGGTCCGAGCCGACACTTCAAAAGCTGGGCAAGTTACATGTGAGGAGATCGGCCACCTCTCCGGCACCCCGCTTCACCCAGTAGGCTGCAACATGGCACATGTGCAAAATTATCAGCGGTGCTCCGGAGTGTCCCTAGATTAGTTGCACCTCAGCTCCACAGGTTTACTCAGGGTTTCCAAGATTTGTGGAGCTGCTGAGGGTCCAAAATGTGCCTTAAATGCAGGGCTTCCCACGGAGCTCAAGCCAAGTGCAGCCGCTCAGCATGGCGGTCAAACCCCACCCCCACTTTTGATATCTTGTTTCGGTAAGTCCTCTATAGCTAGCCAACATCATTGCAGTACTCTCGCATATGCACAAGTGTACAGCATTGAGGTCTAGACAGAGCTAACTCACTCCATAGACAGAGCTAACTCCCTGCGACAGCTATCGGAATTTACACTGCCCAGTGTCTAAGAAAGTCAGGCGGAGGAAATATACAGAGACAAAGTAGTTCCCACTTTTTCTTTATAGACTGGGTTGTAATATCAGTGAAATTCCAACACAGTCAAAATAAGTATTTTATAAAAGATACTTGTTTTTCTGGGTGTCCCACCTTAAGGGTGGCCGTGAGTTTAATATTAAGGTTGGTCAAGTGGCTATTAATGACTTTAAATCTCAGTACTACCAGACTGCAATAAAGCCTTTACCAGAAAAGTAGTTACATTAGTACATACATGTCTAGACAGTCTAGAAAGCAAATTTATTGAATAACATTGGCCATAAACCAGACATTTTCTCTTTAAAAAAAACCTGTAAACGACCTCCATGAC